GAATTATCTGCTTCCTTAAAACAGATAACATTGTGGCTGATCTTCATCTGCGTAACTGGTTAACACTGAAGAGTATTTTCTACTTACCTGAAAAAATCCTTGTTTGTTGAAAAGCTAAAAAGATAAGACCTTCCTCGAATATGTCATGGATTCCACTCCTAGCCATCATTCGCCATTAGGATCAAAATCGCAAATATCCACACCATCAAGGTATCTAGAAAAGATTCCATATATACCAAATAATGGTCGATTAGTTCAGTCTAATCAAGGACGGAGATCCATAACCTATGGCACCAAGAAAATACATCATAGCGGTCGCATAAGAAGTATATATTATGACTCATCGGCCTAGTGGATAAAGCTGTTGCCTTTGAAGTGACTGATACTGGGTTTGAGTCTTAGTGGTGAAAACATCACTCACTGTGGTGCGACCGTATGCAGCTGACGAGTTCCATACAAGATGAAACGCGTCTTCTGGATTCCACTGCCAGCCACTATCCATCATTAATATTGAAACTGGAAATACCCTCGATATCGAGGCTTTTGTATGGGAGTCAACATGCCAATATTCATGGAACAATTCTATCCAATCAATGACAAAGATTCATAAGCTGTAACATCAGAAAACCAGTATACGATTTCTACACTAAAATTTTGTTTTCTCTCATTCAACTCATCATCATCATCATCATCATTATCAACATAGGACCAGGCACTACTGCGTAACCGTCCGAGTTGCCACACCTCACATCAGTTCATCAAGTAGAAAGCAGATGTTAATGCGTAGCAAGATAATAACTAATTTCATAAACTAGTCATCATAGTTAGCCTCATGTGATTACTCAAGCATAAAATGTACTTTAAGACGAGGAAAATATCTCTGTTTGAATCTTTTCTTTTCTTTTTGAGGTCATTAAATGGACTGTAGTGTAAATAACAAAATAATAAGCGCACTAAAATATCTTACTGTGTATGTACACGAACAATGACTGTTTCCCCATTTTAATAGGCCTCAGCACTTTATGCTTCAATGAACCGTCGAAATATCAGTAGACTATAGTTGGTCCGGGTTAGAAAGAGAAAAACTTTCTATTCTGTGGATTAGATGATGCATACACCGTTTTTTTACTCCTATACGGTATAAGCTAGGTAAGCAATTTACTGATTTGATGTAATGCAACATTAAACTGTACAGTATTCCATCGCCGGATAACGCCAAACTGTTGACTTCTATTTTAGACTTATTTCTTTATTGCTTTTCTGGTTTTCTCAAAGCTTATTTGCTCACCTTAAGTTTTCGCACTCATTCATTTGCTTTCCACCAAATATGTACACATTTTAGATTAGTATGTTTATGATGGGAACCAAATTTTAAAAAAAGAAACTTGGGATGCTTTGAATAGCATTTTGTCAGTAGTCACCAAAGTTGTCGATGTTTCTCCTTTATTCACTAAATCTACACAGATCTTCAGGTCATGTTTGCTTCTCAAACTGCTCCAGTGGTGATGTAGGTTTGAATCTCTGAGGGGAGAATATATCACTTGAAGTTTCAGATACATTACACTGACGAATACCAATAAGCGTGAAATCTGTGTTTAAGGCTTCCTGGAGGATTGTCTAAGCGCATCAAGATGGTGAGTCTCCTCACTTGATGGCCAGATTTCAAAATGATCGACAAAATTAGGTCAGTACTTAGGACTAGGCAAACAAGAAATTGGTTACTCCCCTTTTAGAACTGAATAATAGGGTTCACCTGATTGTCAGTGGATACTACTTCAGTCATTTATTTATTTCACATTTTGATCCTACCTTGTGGTGAAATAGAGAGGTATGCTAAACCTTGTCTACAACTCATGCCTGGCGCATACGATAGCGGATTTTCAAACTCAATGATCTGATGAATAACGCTTTGATACTAGGTGATTACTGAAGGTGAAATGAGAATTTAGGCCACGGAAGTATTCGAACTAGAGAAAACTAGGTTTTCAGCTCAGTGCTTTACCAAATGAACTGAGAGATCCGACTACTGGACAGATTTTTATTTTGCTTCACTTCAGCTTTCGGAATAATAATATAATGGCGATCTAGATTTTATTGGTATTCTAACAACAAGTTTACAAGCATAATTCATCGACTGATTGTAAGTTTTAGACTTGATAGAAAGTAAGTTAGACTTGATTTATGACTAGAATTTCTTCTTTTCATTTGGGAATGTTTGTGTGTAAATATGCAGATGACCAAGGTCCAACAATCAGGCCGTTTCAGAAATTTAAGGTTGTTTCATGATACATCAATTCATCTTCTAAGTTATTTTTCTGGAAGGCACCTACTCCTCTCGAACAACTATTCATTCTGACCGTCGGCAACATTAGACTAGTTTATGACTGTAAAATATGTATCATCTTGGGAATAATTTTTATCTACGACATGGCTAAATATCTCTTTATATATGCATTCATATTAATGCTATACAACTTGTTACATGTACACATTTGAATCAGTAACCAAAACTCAGAAATTTTTATATTCAATATATTTATTCAGTAAAACAAAAGTTTAGTCAAAAAGACTTACAGTTCAGCCATATAAATGATGGGAATAAACACTAAAGGAAACAGAAGTAAAAGTGACTTTCAATGTAGTCAATTTCTACTGAATTAACAAATCACCGACATTCACTCTTCCGTGAGTTGTTGAACTATGGGAAAACTTGTCGAGAGCGTAATTTGTACAGTCGAATAAGGTAGTATATTGGTCATTTTCTCAGTTCACTGAAGCCATGCAACATTGATAAGTAGATTATTAGTATAAAGTGTGCTGCGAAAACGGTATCACAGTGCATTAGTATTCAATGTTTAAATAGTCATACACCTTTCCACTTCCAAGAAGCTCGCTGTCTATTTACCCATTCCCTCGATAATAATAAAATCGAAATTAAATGATTACACAAGGTTACACCAGCGTCTAGTCATTGCAAAAATTTATTTGCAATGCAAATGTACACACAATCATGCGACCTAATTTTGGTAATATTCTGAGCAAAACATTAGTCCCGACTTATTTATTTTATTATTATATCGTCGTGCGAATTTATCTGATTATGCCAATTTGTTTGTTAAGGGGTTGTTTTATCTCCCAAAATTATCAGCCTTCATAACTTTTATCGATTCATTGATGGGATGTTAGTCTTTCAACTCTCAGAAAGTCATTCACTTAAAGTATAAACCTGATCTAACCTTATGCTCTACTCTACATTTGCAGTCTCTGTGTAGGTAACTATATTTAGTCTTTTTTTCTACCATATACGGCTCTGATTGAACTTCTTCCTGATGTGTTGAGACAGGTCTACTCACTGATAGTCCTAATCCTGGGGAAGATTGTGTGTGTGCACTGAGGCAATGGACCAAAATAATCTTCACAAACTTCTAGGATAAATAGCTTTTCATGAAAGGAACCAGTGGTGAAATTTCACTGTACATTATATTATCACCGGACTTATCCGAAATGTGAAATACGCAAATCATAAGAAATTTTGGAAGTAATGCAGTGCGACAACTACACGAGATAGTCGAAAAGTGGTCAAAGCTTTGGCATTTAAGTGATATAAAGGTAAACACCATATATATGATGATATTCACTTCGTGTTCTGATGGATTAGACTGAATTTGGGAGGAAATATCAGCCTGTTCAGCTTTCGATTGAAACTATCAACATTCGATTTCACTTTAAATTACAGTGATACTGCTTTAGAGAATTCCGACGACCTAGAATCCTTAGAGTTCTGAGATGGTCAATGAAATGACTCACATCGTTTGTATTAATTTGCTTGGTTTCGGGTGTTGGAACTCAGTTATCAACTCCAAAATAAGCGTTAGTCTGGCGAATGAGGACTGCATAAGGTACATGTTAATGGGATGTTGATCTATGGAATACTTGAGTCAAAAACCCTATCTGAAGTCTTTCAAACAACAACAAAACCAAATATGGGTAAGCGATTTTGCTCAGTGTTGAATAGTTAATTAACAGCAACCAGTAGGGAACTTTTCACAGGGTTAGTAATAAGGGTAGAGTCACTACCAACAATCAATTTAAACAGTATCGGATCCTCTTTGAACCATAATCTAGAGGGTGTTGAATTCTTTGCTTTGATTTGCTCGACAGACTTACAAGGTCATTTTCATGTCGTTCTCTACTGCTCCACTGATTATTAAGTTTAAAAAAAACTGATATTCTGATTTTCACAGCCTAAGCAACCTTTGGTAAATGTTACTGTTTTTTACTGTTGTTCACATCGACTTTTCGTTATTCGCTCACCTGAGCTTCATTGTGCCATTTATCACCCCACTACCATGATCTTGAAAAGTGTTGATTTATAAACAAGAATCATTCCTTGACTTCTTACTGCTTCAGTCAAGTTGACTAGTTGTCCAGTCACATAGCTATTTCTCATGTAATCAAGTAGTTGAAAGGAGTTGGAAAATAGTCTACTTCTTGTTGGTTTTTCTCTAGTCAGTACTATTCACAAAACCTCCCATGTTCTCAGATTATTAACTAACTGGTGTGTAGTTGTGAGTAGTCTCTCTGTTTCCTAAGCAGTAATCAGATTGATGAATGAATGTTGGTGAATTACTCAGCACCATGTTGTAAACAAGATGTTATGGTAGTTGATGTTACTCAGTGTGTTTGTCTATGTGAAAGAAAACACTTATTTAGACTGAGTACGTAGGTATAATTAAACTGAGTTTTAGGAGTCTAGGAAAAGAGTAATCTTCTACACTAGGCTAATATACGCCAATCCAACCGTCCCATCCCACTGTATCCGCCCAATTCCTATTAGGAATGTTGTTCAAAAGTCATAGGGAAAGGTGTTGTAAAATCTCTCGAATTCCTGAACACTTCACACAGTTCAGCTTCGGATAATATGTCTAGTTTCATATTCATGAGATGTGCTGATATATCATACCATCCACTAAATAACATGATTAATACTTCATTTTCAGAAAACACCATACCAGCTGCCTATGGAGATGCTGGGATGGTCTGTTTACTCAAGTCAGTGACTGCAGGCGCGTGACTGAAATTCTTTCAGATTGCGATCACTTCTCCGTTTTTGAAACTAATGAAGAAGCTAATGATACGTGTGCTTGAACCCTTAATAAAGGTTTCTTGAGATCCTAATCACTTTTCATCCAAAGCAACACAAGCACTCTGTATGCCAACATTGTCTTATATCACAGTATTGCTTATAATCTTGACAGAAATGCCAAGTATGTTAGATCTGCGTTCCTAGACGACACTTCAACATTTGATTCCCTCCCAAGATTTATTTTGCTGGATAAGCTAACGTGGACAGGTAATGAGTTCAGGATAACCAGCTGGCTGTACTCCTACTTTTCTGAAGAGAAACAATATACTGTTCAAAGGGGTAAGTCCTCAACCTCATTACTCATTGAGGTTGGTGTTACTTAAAGTGCCGTCTTTTCCCCAGGTCTTTACCCCCACCCCGTCTCTCTCTCTCTCTATATTTGACTAAACACCTCTATCTAGTATCAATTCTATCAAATATCTTGATGACCTGCTACTAACTCATCAGACTGTTCACGACTAAAAGACTTCCTATGAACTATTGGATGGTAGTCCCCCGCAAATGGTCTTGTACTTAATTCTTCACAGTATCAGACTATAAACTTTAGTTTCAAATGTGAATATAACCTCTGCAAACTGCTGGGGTCTCATAACTCCTGTTTTATTGATGGCTGTGTATTAGAGAATGTAACAAGTGTGATCTATTTCAATGTGATGTTTGTTCTGATCTTTCCTTGTCCTCTCTTATTCTACTAGTTTCCAAAAGAATCTACGGCCTAACTTACTATGTAAGGAAGCTGAGAATTTACGGTATAGCTCAGCCTCTCATATCAGGATTAAAGCTATGTCTGACTTCTACAATCTTCAAGTTTCAGAATAAAATGTACAAACAAACACAAATAGTTCCCATGGGATCACCAGCCTGTATGCTTTATCGTAGCAGACATGTTTATCGACAGCTGGACCCGTTTGTTCGTGCTCCAAAAGTATGGTTTCCGCATATAGTTGAGACGTTTACAGTGTTAAAATCGGTGCATATACATAGTTTCTTCACGCATATAAATTCCGTAGTCAATGCAATCTAATTAACCTATGAAATGGAAGCTAGTGAACGTGAATTAGCGATGTTGGATTACAGAGTAAAACGGAAACAAGATGACAGTTTAGACACTAGTGTCTAAAGGAAATCTTCACACTGGAATCGTTATTCAAACTTCAAACTGCCTCACTCTATACCAGTTGAAGTTGGCTTGATAAAATCTCCATGTAACAGGGCAAAAGGAATTACCAGTAAAACAGAAGATCTAAGGCAAGAAACCAGATACATTAAAGATGCGTTACTAATACCTTACTCTCCGAAATTAATTCATAATTTCCTTTATAATCGTAAGAAAAATGTAACTCATATTATTAACACAGGTGTCATTAGTAGTAATAATAATGTTAACGATAATAGTGACAATAGCGTGATGAGACAATTCAAAATCGCTACAGTATTATCATGCATAGAGAGAACATCAGAAACATTACGTAGGGTTCTCAATACGGGTGTCTGGGATTACAGTGGCCTTTAAACCAACAAACTCGCTTAGAAACAAGCTTTGTAAATTAAGCGATCCTACTGTTCCAGTTAGATGGAATAATTTGGTTTACCGAAGCCCTAGCAACAACTGTGAGGTCAAATACATACGCCAAAGTAGCCAACCAGGATCAAGTAGGCTATCCGAGCACAAAAGCCTAACTAAATTAAAATTAGTAGATCCTAGTAAGACAAGAAACTTATAAAACGCTCGGACATAGCTATGCGTGCGATTTCACACAACCAAAAGACAGGATGGGATAGGGTGAGAACTAACTTCATGAGATGTAGAGAGAGATTGATGACGGAATCTTTGTCGATGGGATCAACGCCTAGTATGTGCGGTAGGAATGACTCAGCACCGGTTCCAGACATATGAAAATCCTGCTGCCCATATCACAAACAAGGCAAAAGAATTAGGACTATGTAAGCCATATCTCATATGTTTTGGAGTTACCTCACATGACTATGGACAATAAATTGTGTCCGAAACCTTGTGCAGTAAATAGTACTGTTCCACTGTGTAATTCATCGAAAAAATCATTTAAGATAAAATTGATCGGATCACATTTTCAAAATCCTGGCAAACATCAATTTATAATTTGACTATCTGAGTATAGCCGTGATTTGACAGACTAACATTTGTACTGGGTGATGATTGAAGGTGAAATGAAAATTTCGTTGAGCATCTGGCTGGAAACCCACTGGCCGCTGTTTCGAATCCCACCGCAGTTCAAATTTCCAATTCACTCTCAATCATCATCCAGTATAAGCATCAATTTATTGTCAATTTATTGGAGAAGTGGTCGGCAGATTTCGGTCAATGCTGAGGACTTAGGACCTCGCAGCTAAATAGACTACCAAATAATTAACAATTATCTCAGATAATCAACTATTGCAAGGAGTAAGTGATGAGTTGAAGAGATTAGTTATAAAGACTCTTCCACTCTAATCACTGTGTTACACACAAAGAAACATCTTGGTGTCACAAGTCTATATAAAATTACCACCCATCGAATACAAGCATATCTCAAGGTCGCAGACACTTATTTTTTCATGATCTCAATAAAAACATTCTAGTCAAAAGTTCGTTTCATAATATTAACGATGGCTGGTGGCTAGCACTGGAATCCAAGGCGTGGATTTCTTCCTATTTTGAACTCGTTAACTTGATATACCTGTCTTCTAGTGAGTGATATTGTCTACACCGGGCCTCGAACCCGGGGCGAGTCGCTTCAAACGTAAGAGCGTTATTCACTAGGGTAGTCCATCACAATACCTACCTCTTTTGCTACGGGTATGGTATAAGTTTAGTGCTATAGCTTGTAGATTCGACTTCGAGATATTCCCACAGAAGCCGATATGTCAGTGATGGCAGATCAGTTTCAGCTAACCAGAGACAGAGATTCACAAGCTATAACAATATAACTAGTTCTTATCATCGTCGAAAAAAATTATATGAGACTCAATAACTTTAAAACTGCTGTCGTGATAGAGAAAATGAGCGTGGCATACATTCAGTATCATATCATTGACACAAACTTATTAAAAGCCATAATCTGAATGAAGAATATTCTTTTCAATAGCTTCTCTTCAGGTTCTACAATTATAAAATGCATTTGCATGGCGTAAAAGCAGGCTATATTATGGGTGGATACATTTTCAAAATGGATTGAGATCAAGAGATTGTAAATAAATCCATTTATGATGTTTAAATTAGTCAATATTGGGATGATACATATACAGAAGAATGATATGATGGTGAACAAAAACATAATGAATAAGATGGTAGGAGTGGCCTTTAGTTTGCAGAAGGCTAAGGGAGAAGTAGCGCTTGGACGTGTTCTTTCTGAATGCAGAGTTCAGGCTTGATCAATCTTATTGCGACAGCCTGCGCTATGTTCAGCAGACGTTGGGGAGCTACACATGGTGCCATTTTCGCTTCACGATGAATGAAATTGAAAGCTTTATAAGCATTTGTGTGATGCCCGGTGTTGACTAGATGTTCTAGGAGCGAACGTCTCACCACTTTTATTTCGCTCTTTCTGAAGCAAGCTGGTAAACGCTCTCGCATCTGGAGATGCAGCTGTCTAACTGTCCGCCTTGTGTAGCTAGTTCCACAGGAACAGTTAAACTGATATATACAAGATGAAGAGCTAAGATTCGATAGACTATCCTTTAGTCTCGGACTGAGCATTAGCCAACTACTGAATGATATACAAAGCCAACCTACATAAAACTTCCTATCGACTGCTCTAGCTGGGTGTTGTGATAGAATATCACTTGCAACCTCTCCCTTTGAATTGTAGGTGTAAAAACAAAAGCTTATTTTCCACTGTCATCAGTTCTCGTTTAGGACCGATGTAGTTGATGTTAGTTTCGATGAACTTGTCCAAATATCCGTTTTCACTTACAATATCATGGGTAAACAGTAGTTCTTTTTCCACACACTCCTTGGAACAAATCAACTTGCTGTAAAAGCCAGGCAACTGATTATATTGCTTTTGTACTTCATCGGTACGAAGGTGAGAAAGTGCGTACACTGTGTCTTAGACTTTAGTTTTCTGTATATACTTCACAGTATAGAGCCATCTTTGTTTCTTGTCATTAGCACATCAAGAAAGTGTATTGAATCATTGATTTCATTTTCATATGTAAAATGAATTGATGAACGAGAGCTGTTGAAATGGCTCAGAGTAGAATCAATACATATGCACCTATTAAAGACTAAAAACGTATCATCTATGTATCGACAGTACAACTCCAGAGTAACACTTTGATCTTTCAAAGGACCATTTCCCGATTTCACCAAAATTATATCTGTTAATATCGTTAGAAATCTGTCGTTCATAACCTTAAAGTACACTGAAAGCCATTTATCACCAATCTGTAATCAACGAAACAATTTGGCGAACACCTTGTTTGTACGATAACAACAAATAAATGAAAAACAGAGTTTTTAACAAGTAGAGACAATAAGTTCGACTATCTGGGGCAGCCATGGTTTGACTAACTGATGCTTTTGATGTTGAGTGGTGATTGAAGGTGTCGTGACAAACCTCCCTGCGTCACGACTCCAAATAGCCACTTACGAGTTACTTGCTGCATACCTTGCCACTTGAAATAGGATACCCATCTGCTGACCAGATTTTTATTCCACTTCAAAAGCCGAGGGTTTGCCTGTCATGTCGATTTGTGACAAATTACTTTCTGTTCATGGTATTCACACTGGTTGTTCAGTCAGGTCGTCTCAACCTAATGCAGATCAAGATAAATTGGAGAGGGCGAGCATGAGGAAAGGAAAATCTGGGTCTTCATCCTTCTCGTTTAAGGTACAGCAGATCAGATGAGGGATGTACGAGAATACGAATGATTCCGAGCGACAACAACTTCGGTAGTCAACCACTGTTAAAAATAAGCAGAAAAAGGCGGTCACCTATCATTTTCTTCACTTCTTATCTATAATAGCGTTTGTCTTTGAAGTGAATATTCTAAGTAAGAGGAGGTTTAAAACGACACAATTGAAATACAAGACGGAAATTCTAAAATGTACAAGCAACTTTACTTTCTCTACACAGGTTTTCTTTAAGAGAATACTTCTGGCACTTAATTAAGATCAGTGCTCCATGTGTGCTCTAGAATGCCTTATGCTTAGATATGAATCTCAGTTGCTGGTGGATTTTTGTCAGTGCTAGTTCAGTTATGAAATGGTGGAGAATATTTGTAGCTCAGGTGGATGATCTTGGTTGCACTGTGTTTTC